ACGCATACTCATTAGTCGCCTCTTACGACTGGCAGAGGGGCCGTGGAAGTATTTTTAGCCCTATCCTCAGGCCGCTGAAATTGAATAAAAATGTAATTTTATGTAAAAATTAAGTTTATCGTGTTAATATTAAAACTCATAAAACTGTCTTAACTTTTTTAAAAATGAACAAAACAACATTTTTTTTACATATAATTAACATTGGTATTGCCTTTTACATTTGGAAAAATTTTTTAGAAAATCTGATCCTTATTTGTCCACTGAAGAAGATTCAAAACGGAAACTTTTGCACACATATTAAGCTTTTTTAACTTAATTTTTGAAAATATTCCGAGATTACTCCGAGTATTAAAATAATGTTAAATTGAAACTTATTATATATGATATAATTAAAATAAAAATTTGACCAGGCGACTTTTTTTCTAAAAGTACATGATCTGTGAAGTTAGTTAGAAAATATTATTTTAGTTTAAAAAGTCATTGTTTTTAAGATGTTATTTTTACTTGAATATTCTTTAACATTTTTGTATTAATATCAAAACATATAATTTCAATAATAATGATAGAAATCATTTCTATGATGTTTAAATAAATGCTGTCATGTAACTGTTCAACACAGTTTTTAATGACTATACCAAAGTTCTCAATAATTTCAACAATAGCAGTTGTTAAATACTTGGCTGTGTGTCCACAAATGTTATAAAAATGTTTAAAATGTACAACTGCTTGTTTAATATGGTTAACATAACGCAATGCAATTGTTAATTGGCAAGTATACATGATATTAGGTGTAAAGTCAACAATCATTCCTAAATATTTTGCATTTTTTATTTCTTTCAATATATAGTTTAAAATTTTATCTTGCTAATAACTTCATAATGCCCAAAATATTTCCATTGTGCGCATTACTTGATATTTCATTGCCCCCCAATATCTTAGTTCTCCTTGAGCTGTAAATTGAGCAACTGCTACAGTTTATTTTAAAATATCCTTCCAATACTGGACTTCTTTATCGTGCAATTAGAAGATAATCAATACGTTTTTGTTTATATGAGCGATTTGAAAAACACAAATAACTATTCTATGAGTAAATTAATTTTCGTATTCTCTATCTTTTCAAGTCTTTCTTTTGTATGCTACTAATTACTAAAACTCTCTTTACACAAAATAGTTGGTGCTAATACCTCACAAATATGACAAAATAAACCGAAATAAGGTATATATTTTAACCGAGCTCTACGTATCTCATGACCAGATTTTTAGTTAAAAATAACGATAATCTTTTGTTAACTTCAATAAAACTTCTCAAATAATTTTTTTTAATTTTAAACACAATTTTCATTTTATTTTTTTGGTAAAATAATCTCAAAAGTTTTCCATAATTACCATATTGAAATATCATCAGTTAACCGTGAAAAATCGTTTGCTGGTAAATACAGAATTAATATTTAATTTTTATCACATTTTCAAAATGACATATTTTTTATAATTACTATACACAACTGGTCCCGCGTCGCTTCATGTTACACCATGCCCCGCGTCATCTTTATCAGCAGTCGCCCTACTATGGGTATTTGGTAATTAGCTTACCAACACTGCGTGCCATACGCCACGATGCAGAGTCCAACAAGTGCCACACGGCCAACGACGACCCGCCGCAAATGATACGTAGAGTCTTCGTCCTGTCGTCAAAGTGACAATGTTGTTGACTACTGACTCGTGTAGAGTCGACCAACGTGTCGCGCGACTGGACTCGGCGAATCGATCCGCACTGTCGCCATCAACGCTGCTAACTTTATGACGTCCGAAGTCAATGCCGAACACCGTGTCGCCGACGCTAGCGAAAGCGCCGCAATATTATGCGAAGACTACTATTAATTGTCTTTTGGGTTCTTTTTAAAAAATTTGCTGTTGTTCGTGAAATCTAAACGGCCCACAGGTCTCTATCATCAAAACCAGTGCCAACTACATTATTGCGACTGAAGTCGTCTGCACTTGTGTGATTGAAGATGAACTAGTTACAACTGTAAGTTTAAGTAAACTACCGCGTAGTTTCTTTTTCTCTACATCACGTTTTCCTTTTAATTTTCTTTCCATTGAAACACTTAAATATTTTAATTTAATATTAAGCCTACAAATAAATAATTATAACCAGTGACGCGATCAGAAGAGGGAGGTTAGGGAGTTATAACCCCTCAAAATAATTAGTGATGTTTGAGTTTTTTAGTCGCGATAAACTTTTTAGCTTCGATGCAAAGCTAAAAAGATATTAATTTTACTATGATTTGTGTTTTTTTATATTTTTTTATGTGTCTGTTACCACTTTTTCTCAGCTCTCATCGAACGAATTTCTTTCAACGATACGTCAAAAGATCACAAATCGTATCTAGTCGAAGACATTACCCTCAAAAATTAAAAGAATTTCTCTCGTTCCCCGTAAATGGGGGAAATCTCCAAAAAAATTACAAATATAAAAATCGCTAATTTTCGAAATTTTTTCAATTTTTTTTACTAACTTCTACATAACTTTTCCAAAAATGAACATATAAATATAATTTTTTTTTTTATAGATGCTTGATGTCTTTACTTATCATTTAGTATATTTTTTTTATGAATTTAACCCTTTACCTGCCCACAGGGGGGATTTAAAATAGAAACTTTTTCACAAAATTCAATGTCTTCCATTTAACTCTTGAAAACGTTTCGAAATACTGCGTCCTTTAAACATTTGTTAAATTAAAGTTTATGTTACGTATTATAAATTAAAGTAACAAAATTTGTCCCGATCTTACGTAAAGATGGCTGCTGTTGTGAAAAACATGCTAAATTGTTAAACGTGTTAAAATATAAGATTTTATATTTTCAACTTTAAATTACTATAACTTTTTGAGAAATGTATAGATCAACAGAAACTTTTGATTCTACATACTTTATATATGCTTCTTGTATCAGACATACTTTTTTTTAATTCGACAATTTCTCCTTAGACAGAGTGTGTGTTTAAAACTTGATAAAGACGTATAAATAGTAGAGCATTTTCAACTTTTGAAAATGTTCCAGTAATAGTGCGTCTTTTAAATACATGCTAAATTAAAAATTATGTTACGTACTATACGTTAAAAAAAAATTGTCCCCACAACCAATCTTCTAGGTGCAAATGGCAGTCGAAGTTGAACAAAAAATGGGAGTTAATTTTGCTTTTGATTGATGCGTGATACTCATATGTTCGACACCATTTCCACAAGGCCACAGTCCACTCAATGCTATCAACAACTCAATCTATTTAGATTGAGTTTTTATATTATTTTTTAATTTTATTTATTATTTGTTTAATTGAGTATAACTATTTTGTTAGATGCCGCTTCGCCGACAATTAGGATTTAAGGACCCCCCCCCCCGGTACCCCTTAAAATTAATATACTTTTTAAAGAACTTGTAATAAATGTGGTTATTTGTTATTTAATTATTGTCTACTCTCGTTACTTATTGAATGTGCGGTTAGGCGTCATTCACACAGCTGACCCCACTCCCACTTCAATAATAGCGATTTAAACGGGCTTAAGGTAAAATGGCATTCTATTGCGATGCACAACTAGCTGTCTCCTATGGTCTAGCTGCCTTGTACGGAACAACATTTTTATCAGGATAATAAAGAAAAATAAAGAAAAGAAGAATAAAAATTTGTGTATATATATTTTATAACATAATATAATATACACGTACATCATTTAACAATATCGATTTTTTGCAGATTAATTGATGTCTAATATTTTAATATAAATGTGTCAGATTCGGTTTATTTGAACTTCTTTTCATAAGTTACTTTCATATTTTTAGAGAAAAAAATATTTCTTGATAAAAATGTTACTTGAAACAATTGGCCAATCGATATTTTAGAAATGATAATTTTATAATTAAATTGCAATGCAAGCAGTGTTACAGCAAGAAATAATATCACAATATTATAGTAAATAGTATTGTAATAGTCCGGCGGAAAAATGTTATCACTACCCAAACAGAAATCTACTAAGGGCGCAGTACAGAACTGGCCATTACGGGCACAGTACTATATATTTATACTATTATATTTTAGATATTTTGTACTGCGACTGTACTGGCATAATTCACAAATAATAACGATTTTCTGTACTGACTGCCAGTACTAGGACAGTATTGCCCCAGTACTGTAGGTCAGTACCTATTCTATACAGGCTTAATAATGGTACAGTACAGGTCACGTACAGGTCCAATAATAGCTTAGTACTGGTTTTAACCAAAGTCAAGTACGAATTCTGTGAAACATTAATAATGGCACAATACAGATCCTACAATGGCACATATAATATTTGCGTAAAAGACAAATAAGGGTTGTAATATCACTCCTCCTTAAATGTATATTTTTTAACTGCGCGTTTTAAAAATTTAATACATACTGATTTAAGATAAAATCTAACTCTTACCTAAAAAATTCAGATACAATTATAAATTCTGAATTGTATTTATTTAAATTATAGATATTATACATGTATAATGCATTTATTATGTATTTATTTAAGTTAAAGTTATATTCTTAAACTTTTAATCATAAATTAAATACACAAATAAATGTATATAAATTATATAAGTAAAAATACTTTATCTATATTATTTGTACATGTTTATTCGTTTATTTAATTTATAAATTAAAACGAATACAAAATTTAATTAATTTAAACAAAAAAATTAATTGTAATTTATTTTCCCTCCCCTTCGGTCCTTTGCTCCCGAAAACCATCTACTAATAGCCATTGATATGTCTTTTGACACCATGTCTGAAAATTTTCTGTTAATTATATCTAAAAAATCAAAGCACAAATTTTATTAGTTTTTTTTTCAAATTTAAAACAAAGTAAGCTAATTTTTAACAAATTACCCTCATTATCATTTTGTTGATTGTTTACTGACATCTTATATAGAGAAATTTGTTTCAATGATTTACTGATTTCTTTATGAGTTAAGTTTTTAAAAAATATTTCTTGGTCTGAATTTGTCTGTTCGAACGTACTGCTTTTTATAACATTAGGATCCTCAAAGTCCCTACTCATTCTCCTAAATCCTTGATCATAACTATCTAAAATTACAACATACGCAATTTAAAGAATTGACAACACCATAAAAACCAAAAAAAAAAAATTACATATATACTTCTTAGCCTCTTTCATAAGTGACACTTCAAAACTCTTCCATGATTCATCTGGAACAATTCCGGCTTTTGTAATAAGAACAATATTTTTGTATTGAGATTTATTTGGGAATTTACAAAAGAACTTTCCATTAACTTTATAGACCCAGAGATGCTGGCACAAGATCTATAGATTCTTTGCCGTGACTTGTACATTTTTGAAATTCACAATATGAAGTGTATTGCTTTTTAACTCCATGCCTTAGAACAAATTACAAAAAATTTAATTTTAAAATGAGACATAATACATTTAATTATATGGAATTTTTTTAATTATTTAAAAATCAAAATTAGATAAAAAATTAATTTTTTATTATAAAATTATTACATCACGTATATCTATAACGTAAAATATAAAAGTTAAATATTAGTACTTACTTACCTACTTTATTTGATTTTGAATGCTAAAAACAATGAGAACTGAAAATGTATTAAAGAAAAATTTTAATTTTGACATTTTTATTCAACGTTAATATAATTTCTTACACTCTAGATTAGGATGGACACAATGCGTTTAATTATTGTGTTAAAAATAAAAATATGACAAACATAATTTATAGATTTATTTTTGAAAACTATAAAGAAACTGTACTACACTATTTCTCCAAATGTGTTTTTAATCGTTCAAAAGATACAGATTTAGTAGCGGACAATACCGCTAATATAATAATATTATAAATATAATACAATAATAGGTAAATTTATCGCCTTATCAACCGTACCACAAGTCGGTCTAACATACGATACGCTAGTGCTATTGTGTTTGGCATTATCGGTACAATTTTTACACTGTACATAAAATTAGTAGACGGTGTATTTTGGAGTCAGTTAATTCAATACTAGCGGGATTGACTTTTTTTTTATGTTGCCTTGTTTAATTATAATTGTATTAGATTGTTCTAATTCTAATCTATTGTTATTCTACTGATTTTTATACAGAAGTCATTAATGACTATTAATAGTCACATACTAATATATTCTGTTACGTCGCTATTTAGGGGTTGAGCCTAAATGCCCGTCGACAGTATTCTAAGGGACCAACGGGGGATAGCTGGCTAGGCTATATCTACCTTAGGTACTGAAGTTTCCTATTTAATTTATATTCCCTTAGAGGAACTACCAAGGGTCGCACTACAATATATATATATATAACACTTTAGGTTAACAACGATATAAATAAATATTTATTAAGCAATTGAAATATTAAATAGATAACACAACCTGCTGAACACCTAGAGATGATATAATCCAACAGGGAGCTGACGGCGACACACACATTCTCTATATACGGAGTNACAGGGAGCTGACGGCGACACACACACTCTCTATATACGGAGTCGAAAAGTTAACTCAATTATCAGACAAAAGTAGTGATCGCGAAGATGGTAAAATGTCAACTGTCGATAGGGATATCTTATTATGGCACATTGGCCGTGAATTGCAAAAGTGTTTATGTGTGCAGTCCGCCCTCCTGTTAGTATTGTTGTATGTCACTGTGTTAATTATATATATATATATATGTCTATTAAACGGTACAACGATGGTATGGGAGACAGAGATATGGGCACATGCAAATGTGATCGTACCAATTCCATACAAGTTTGATTTCATACATTGTTGAACGACCAGCATGGAAAAATATTCTTGAGGATTACCATAAAATGAATTTATGGTCCATTGAAACAGATTATTGTTGAGGCGGTGGCCATCTCACGATTGCTATGTATGTGATTATGTGTAGGGTATGAAATAGTCAATAATCATTAATTGAAGCCTTAGCATATGCTTGAAATATTACTTTACCGTTATTTGCACAGATTATTAATTCTAAAGAATTGGGATAACGTAAATTTATTTACTTTTTTAAACTGCTTGTATACAATTGGAGAATAGCGAACGTTGACAGTCAAAAATACTAAGCTCTAATCTTTTACTTAAATTGCGCTAATTCGCACACATGATAATTCAACATTTTTATAAATAATTAATAATGTTTCGATGCTAATTATTTCATTTAAAGATGCATTAATGGTTGGCTGTAGCTAATGAAATTTGAATAAGGGAATTCCATAAGAGACGAACTCCATTCTGGATGGAATACAACACTCAATCTATGTGCGAGCAGAACGTAGATTTTTTATTTTATCTTTTAACTATTTCCCATTTTCGGATATTGTTGTCAGTGCTTTTAGTGAATATATGTTTATTATATTTAATTAACCATTACATAATTATTATTTTAAAATAAGATGCATAGTTTACAATGATTAAGTTGCAACATATATACATTTATTATAAATAGTGTATATTTTAGATAGATAAAGTAATTATTTGTTTGTACACAAGTAATAATCATTCATTTTTTATAAGATGTTCAGTTGCTNTTTGTACACAAGTAATAATCATTAATTTTTTATAAGATGTTCAGTTGCCACACAATTGTACATTTTACGATAGTATACTTCAATCCTCATTACTACGGAAGATTGGCCAATTTTCTTCTGTTGTAGATGTTGTATCGGGGGCACTTCTAGAACTCTCTCCTTTAAAAGATAGACTTTTCAACATTCTGCTAAACGATATTTTCTGTGATAAAAATGTTAAAGATATCTTTTTTAATTGTATCAAATAAATTTGTATGTAATAATGTTGCGTTATTTATTATTTCAAGACACTCAGTGAGTTTTAATAGTTCTGAAAAGAATGAATTCATCGAGACTCTAAAAATGTTAAGTGATGGTCAACTTTTTTTTTAAAAATCGTTAATTAATTTTATGTGTCTCGAAAAATAATTTAACGAGATAAATTCATTACTTTCAGAAAATTAAAAATAAGTTAAAACCCTTATAAGGGATAATAAATAGACCCAAAAAATATTCATATAATCAATGAATAAATACAACACAACAAAACCAACATTTTTTTTATCAATTTTATTATTTTAAGAGAAATTTCGTTGTCAATGAATAATCAATCATTCTGTAAATAATAAATTTGCTATAAAACAAAATAAATTCAACATTCAAAATAATGNATAATAAATTTGCTATGAAACAAAATAAATTCAACATTCAAAAAAATAACTAAGTTACAACTTGTTTTTACATCGCCTAAATTTAAATTGTTTAATCGGTTATAAAACTGTATTTTATTGAACGTTAAATGTACTTTTATTGCAAATTCCTTATTATATATATATATATATACACATATATATACAGAGTGGCTAACTATGTCTCACTTAATATCTTAAAAAATACAAGTGTTAAAAACAATTTTTAACTTCGATGCGAAGCTGAGATGGTAATGGTTTTACTAAGATGTGTTTTTTTTTTATTTTTTTTGTGTCTGTTACCACTTTTTCTCAGCTCTCACCGAATGGATTTCTTTCAACAATACGTCCAAAGTTCATAAATCGTATCTAGTCGAAGACATTACCCTCAAAAATTGAAAAAATTTCCCTCGTTCCCCGTAAATGGAGGAAACCTCCAAAAAAATTACAAATTTAAAAATCACTTATTTTCGAAATTTTCGAAATTTTTTTTACTTAAAATTGCTATAACTTTTTTAAAAATAAGCAAATTAATATAATTTTTTTTTTTATAGATGCATGATGTCTTTACCTATCATTTGGTATATTTTTTTATAAATCTGACTTTTAACCTACCTACGGAGGGGATTCAAAATAACAACTTTTTCACAAAAATTTTATTTTTTCAACTTAACTTTTGAAAATGTTCCGGAGGGTCTGACACTTTTATAAATATCTTAAATTAATGCTAATGTAATATACTTTAATAAAAAAAAAAAAAATAGACCTCTGGACTTGTCTTCACGGCGAAAATGGCTACCGAATGCTATTTTCGTGTGAAAATTCTCGATTTTATTTTTTATATTATATTTAACTTTATAATGCTATAACTTATTGAAAAGTGTATGGATCAATATAATTTTTTCATAAGAAGTAGTATTTATATACATCTTTTATTCGACATACTGTTTTTTTTAAATCGGATCATTTCCCTATATTCGAGAAGGGTTCAAATCTAAAAAATGCATGTAGAAAGTAGAACTTTTTCAACTTAACTTTTGAAAGTGTTCCGAAATATCTGACAGTTTTATATATATCTTAAATTAAAGCTAATGTAATATACTTTATCATGAAAAAAAAAATTTCGGACTTTATTTTGTCTTCACGGTGAAAATAGCTACCAAATACTATTATTATGTGAAAATTCTCGATTTTATTTTTTACATTTTTAACTTTATAATGATATAACTTATTGAAAAGTGAATGGATCAATATAATTTTTTAATGAGAAATAATATTTTTTAATAATCCCTTTTTCATTCGACATACTTTATCTTAATCGGGATATTAATAAGTAACTAGCAGATCATGTAGCTTTTGGAATAATCCATCAATTTTTAAAAATTTTAACACTATCTAAAGATTTGCATCAAAGCGTTTTTTTTTTTTATAGTGATTTTAATCACTGTCAGATACTTGATCCAACTATGTTACGTAACTACTGTGCCGCGACCCACCTGTGCTGGGTTTTTTTTTTTAATAATCATGGATCATTGATGAGGTGTTTCACAAGAAAATTTAAATTTCTACCATCATCCCTTATGCTTAAAATTTATATTAACTTCATATTTTCAAATGGCAACCCCATATTATATTTTTATTCCTCTTAAAAAAAAATATTTAGCAAAAAAAAAAAAAATTNTCACATTGTCTGTCCTCATATCGCATTCAATAGCATCCCTCCATCTCTTTATTGGCCTTCCTCTACCTCTTCTTGCTTCAACATTCATTTCTATAACTGTTCTTACAGCTTCCAATTCTTCACTCCTCATAACATTAACACGGTTTACTGTGTCAACGCACTTAGTCAGATAACTAAGATGAACTTGGTATGTTTATTTATAAATCTGGTAGGGCTTATCAATTTAAGATCTATAGCGTTTGAGTCTGTTATAATTTTTTCTTAATAAACCCTAAACTTTAAAGAGCCGTGGAGCACTTAATATTAAATAAAATAAAATATTTGTTTTACAAAATTTTTTATTTATTGAACTAAATCTAATTGTGTAAAAAGAAATAGGGCTGCCATTTGAAAATATGAAGTTAATACAAGTTTTAAACATAATGGATGATGGCAGAAATTTAAAGTTTCTTGTGAAACACCTCATCAAAGTTCCAAAATGATTAAAAAAAAAATTGTTTATAACAATTGTATTTTTTAAGATATTACGTGAGACACAATTAGCCAATCACTCTGTTTTTTTAAAAAAATTATAAATGAAATACTATTAATACATTAAATATATATATATATATTAGGGTGGTCCTTAGTTATACAAGAAAAATTTTTTTTTAAGAAATTCAGAGTCATGGGCTCAAAATTTTGTTAGGTTTACTGAAAAAATGAAACTGGTAAAATTTGAGTACAATAAGTCGACGTCTTCACGTGCCTCAAAGGGTTTGAAGTTCTTTAAAAATGGGGTGGATTATCTTTTTTTGAGTGTACGCTCTTTATTTTTGAAGTTTCGCCAAAAACACATAGAACAATTTTTATAGAACTCAATGTGAACAAAAAATAAGGTAATTTATTATTTTTTTGTAAAATTATTATTTTTTCGTAAAAATAAGAAAAATCAGTTTCACTTAATTTTTTTAAAACAATGACATAGTTTTCAGTTATACTTTTCCAGTGTCTTAAATTTTAATTGTACGCAGAAATTGTACAGCAGTAATATTAATCACCACGATATCTTCTATAAAAAAGGTTGTTTGAGTTTTTTTCAAATTATGAATCCTTTCCAAATAAAAATTTAAAACAACTACGAAAACGTGTTTTTTTTAAATTTTTTTTTGAATGTATGTTTTTTTGTTCATAAATTAATAAATTTTCTTAGTTATATTAAATAATAAAAAAAACAAGAAACACAATAAAATAATAATTGTAATAGATGAGTGTTTAATATTTTGGAGAAAAGCGCGTATTCCTACACAGTATTCTTCAGACTGTGTTATTAAATTAAAAAAATTGTATGAGAAATGGAGAAAGTTGGACAAAAATAAATCTAGAAATTCAGAAACACAAGAACAATATTATAATATTTTTGCTGAAGAATTAGACAACCTCTTTGACATTTCTCATATCGAAGCTCTGACACATGATGAGTATTGAAGAAGACAAACAGTTTTTATTGTCACAATTTAAAAAAGGCCGCCCAGGGTGCATGCTTGGTATTGATATGAAGTTAACAGGTATTGAAAAACGTAAAATTACTCAAAAAGAAGACGATTGAAAGAAAAAAGAAAAGTTAGAAATCGCAAATTGTACAGGTAATTATTAAATATTACACAATAATTTTAGTACATTATAAGTTACCAGTTTTTATATACCGAAGTATTTTATTATTTAGCCGAAGCTCAATATTATCGCAGCTCTAGCTCGGAGGACGAAGATATTGATATGGAGGAAAAATCACCATGCTCATTCACATCAACTCAAGCCTCAACTTCAAAAACATCATCAAGATTCACTCCATATGACAGATCTTCTCTCAGTCGAGNAGCCTCAACTTCAAACACATCATCAAGATTCACTCCATATGACAGATCTTCTCTTAGTCCAGATAATTCAAATATAATTATGCTAAGCAATGTTTTGAATGAAACATCTAGAGGGAAGATATTAGTTGAATACTACTCCAAGTTTTCAAATTTCCAAGATGAACAAAGAACTCTTCTTATTAATTTGATAGCACAATACTTCGAAGAAAAATGTGTAAAAATGACTCTAGCTATTAGCTATCAGTTAGAACAACAAATTTTGGAAAGATTCCCATCTGAGAAACTGGTAATATATAATTTTTATTCAACTAATAATCACTTAATGACAAAAAATAAAATAAAAATAATCATGTTTAAACATTGTTTTAAGAAAAAGCAAATCAAAATTTTTCCAAAAAAAAAATCTATTATGGTAATTTCTTTTTTTTTTTTGTTTTAAGATAATAATAATGTTTTACTAATATTTACTAATATAATAATATTTCTAGGCGGTAATGAAGTNATAATACTTCTAGGTGGTAATGAAGTTTGTTAACTCACATATAATTAATTTTTATAGGAGTATTATAGAACTTCTAAACGGGGTAAAATCTATAATAAGTATTACAATTTAGCAACGTCATTTAATGTTGTATCTGGACCTCTTGGAACGGCAGACAAGAAATCACCTGTCAATTCTGAAAAGTTTAGTAGACATTCAAAATGCTCAGGTATATTGCAATTATAATATATATATTAATATAAATAATACTTTATTTTTGGAATAGATAAAGTTAAAGCTGTAAAACTTTTAAATAATACTTTTTAGAACCAGAGGTAGATTCAGAGAACTATATAAAAATATTAAAATATGACAATTTAAGTAATGAGGAATTTGACCGAACATGGCAGGCATGTTTTAATTCACGCCTTGATTTTATAAAAAAGTATACAACAAAAGATATCTTTGATAAATGGCCAGCATATAAAACAGCAAATGGTTACCGTTTAGTAAGTTTGAAAATTTTATTCATCAAGTGAACAAGAATTTATTATTTTTAAATTTTCAGATTGACATGGACTTTGAGGCTGCTTTTGAAAAAAAAGGCGACCTTTTAGAAAATTGGGAAAAAAATATTAGTAAATTGTTGTTATTCCTTTCTTTTAATTCTAACGTTAAAGACAAAAATGTAAGAAAACTTATTGAAATTATCAGAATGAACAATCAAATATCTGAAAGTAAGAGTAAAAAAAAAAAATTTGTGTAGTTTTATCAACATTTACATTGNAAATTTGATGTGTAGTTTTATCAACATTTACGTTACATTGTATTTATTTTTTAGACGGAAGAGATGCTGCTATTATTTGGGCACTGCATGGGTATTTTGTACCAACTAATAAACTTGTTAAGATTGACCCAAAAACAAAGCAGAAAAAAACTATAAAATTCACTATTCGAGATTCACAATAATCCGTTATTTTTGTTGGATCTACAATTCAAATGGTCGAAGACCATATTGAAAACTTGAAAAAATCAAAAAAATCAATCCAGCCCACTATATTTTGTATTGGAGAAAATATAACATCAATTAATGAGATTTTCCTATATTTGGATGGCGTTAGATATATTTTTAAAAGTATCATAAAAGCTCTTGATATTTGTTTTAAATCCATTTATTTATTTGATTTTAAATTTCCGGATGAATCTGTAATATTTTATTCTTTTTTGGAATATTTTTTTTATGATTTCAAAGATAAGCTAAGTTTTCCTAAAGTACATGTATTGGAACAATACTTAAATAATTAAAGTATTGTTCCAATACATGTAATTTAACAACTTAAATTTATACATTAATTAGTTGTTAAATTGATATTTATATAAATTCTTTTGTTATTAATAATTGATTGTTTAAATTCTTTATACTAATTTGAACTATATTTTTACTTATAATTAAAATAAATAAATGCGTTGATTAATACAATAAATTGTTAAATAAAGTTTACTGTATATTTTGATGGTATTGGTTTAATACTTTATTGCTTATTTAAAGCTTTTAATTTTGTAATAATAAAAAATA